GTATTTTTAGTAAGAGACAGGGTTTCACTGTGTTAGCCAGGATGGTTTCGATCTTCTGACCTTGTGATCCACCCGCCTCGGCCTCCCAAGTGCTGGGATTACAGGCATGAGCCACTGCGCCCGGCCTATATTTTATTTTTTTAAGACTGAGTCTTGCTCTATTGGCCAGGGTGGAGTGTAGTGGCGAGATCTCTGCCTCCTGGGTTTAAGTGATTCTCATGCCTCAGCCTCCCGAGTAGCTGGGATTACAGGTGCCCGCCAACACATCCAGCTAATTTTTGTATTTTTAGTAGAGATGGGTTTTCACCATGTTGGCCAGGTTGATCTCGAGTTCCTGACCTCAAATGATCCACCCACCTTGGCCTTCCAAAGTGCTGGGATTACAGGTGTGAGCCACTGGGCCTGGCCCACATATATATTTTAAAGTTATACTTTGTAGTAAGCATAACTGAATTTGTAAGCAAAGTTTTTATTAAACCTATTTTTTTTCCACTATTTTATTTCATATGCTTCCTCTAGTTATTCTTTCACAATACCTCCACTTTGTGTGTAATTCTCTGAAATATTTTATAACATTTCTTTCTTGACTAAGAATTACCTATTTTCTCAGCTTTACAAACCAGTGAGGGGCCCATGCAAGTCATGGCATGGCCCCTACCTGTATCTGAAGGAGGAGCCCCGGCTGAAGAAGACAGCTTTCGCTTTTGGCTTAGGTTGGTCCAAAAGTCTAAAAAAGGTGTGATACTCCACACATATCTTCCAGAAGTTCTTGCATTCATCTCTACTACCCAACAAAAATTCTAATGTGTCCTGGTAAGGTCCCTAGAAACAAAACATAAAGGTTAATTAATTCAAGAATGAAGTATTGGACAAGAGAAAGTACATTTAGGAAGCAGATCACACAATAGGGAATTCCAAAATTAAAAATTAGTAAGGATTTTTTTTTGAGACAGGATCTTGCTCTGCGCCCAGGCTGGAGTGCAATGGCGTGATCTTGGCTCACTGTAACTTCAACCTCCCAGGCTCAAACAATTCTCCCACCTCAGTCGCTCCCCTCCACCCCCTCAGGAGGGACTACAGGTGCATGACACCAGGCCTAGATGATTTTTGTATTTTTTTGTAGAAAAAGGGTTTTGTCATGTTGGCTAGGCTGGTCTTGAACTCCTGAGCCCAAGCGATCTGCCCACCTCAGCCTCCCAAAGTACTGGGATTACAGGTGTGCACTACTACACCCAGCCCAGGAAGGATTTTCTAAAAATTGTATACAAAGTCTTCTGGTTCCATTTGCTTAATTAAGAAAAGAGAAACAGTATTTATATTCACAGTAGAAACAGCAGAAAAATTAAGTCACCCACAATCACACAACTATCAACATTCTGAATTATATCTTTGTAAACACTTTTCCCACCTAGCAAAGGATGGCATTTTTCATGCCAGCTGACATATTTATATGTTATTACTGAATTGTTTCTACATGGTATATATTTTTAAAATCTAGAATGTTTTAGATGTTCAGGACATGCAGTTTTCAGGCCCACAAATATCGCCCTGAAGAAACTGCATTCACTCTCAGTTATTCCTTAGGATAAACTCCTGGAAATGGAACTCTGAGCTCAAAGGCTGCACATCTTTGAACCTGCTGATATATGTTACCCAGTTACCTTCCACAAAGACTGTAACACTTTGAATCTAACATTTAGTCTTTAAAAAAGTGCTCAGGTATGTAAAGTGTAACTTTGCTAAATGCAGATGCAAACAGTTTTGGGCTTTCACTTATCGCCCTATTCAAGTTAATAGCTGCTTTGGTGAACTTTCCCTATCATCTCAGAATAACTGCAAGAAACTTTTTTTTTTTTTACTCACAGAGTAAAACAGCTTTTACTTGTGTTTTGTATGTGTGTCTGGCATTCCTTCTACTTTCCTTTCATCCACAGAAGAGATATTTGTGCACCAATTAAAGCCACTTTCAAGCCTTCTACCAAAAGCAAACACACTTACATACCGCACGTGAACCCAGTGAGTGACAGAAGCAAACACACTTACATATCGCACGTGAACCCAGTGAGTGACAGAAGCAAACACACTTACATATCGCACGGGAACCCAGTGAGTGACAGAAGCCCCACTACTCAAGTGCCTTGTAAAGGCGAAGGCAAAACTTTTCTTCTGACTGGCCCAAGGGCTGTAAATCTCCCATAACCCAAAACGTGTCTGGGCTGACACAGGCATGGCTCTCTCTTAAGCTTCAAACCCCACGGGAGCTTGGCAAATCTTTTTATTTTCTAACTCCTTTTGTACAACGGAAATGCAGCAACTGGAACACCTTTGAATAACTGGAAGTACTGGGTTTTACCAAATACACTGCACAGGCATTTATTTTTTCCATTTTTACTCATTTCAGTAAATTCACATGTAACTATTACTTTATTAATGAGCAGTCAGTAAAGAAAGGAATATTTACTTCCTGATAATCAATGCTTCTTCAGTTAGAGCTATTCAAAGATCAATTTCTGAATGAAGGACACAAGAGAACACTGGGGCACTCCTCAATTCATTCTGAAGCTCTCAATTGCTGTAGGGCTTTAGATCATTTTGAACACTTTGTTCTTCAGCTTCATTACCTAGAGGACAAAGAGGCTGCCATAACCATGGTTCTCAGCAGCCCCTGGGAGCTTGTCAGATATGTACCTTCTTGGGTTCATCCCAGACCCACTGAATGTGAAACCCTGGGGTTTTGAGCCAGCAACATGTGAGTGACAAGGTTCCTGGGAGAGGTAAGTGTGAGACCAGCTAGGCAGACTGCCCTCAGCCCCTCCAGACCTAAGTCCCGAATCCTGTCCTTGAGTTCTTGTGTGCATTATGCTGAAATGATTTACAACGTAGTTATGTTTTAGCAGAATAAATTATGAGTTAAAAAATGGTCAAAATAGGCTGGGCGCGGTGGCTCACGCCTGTAATCCCAGCACTTTGGGAGGCTAAGGCGGGTGGATCACCTGAGGTCAGGAGTTCAAGACCAGCTTGACCAACACGGAGAAACCCTGTCTCTACTAAAAATACAAAATTAGCCAGGTGTGGTGGTACATGCCTGTAATTACAGCTACTTGGGAGGTTAAGGCAGGAGAATCGCTTGAACCCAGGAGGCGGAGGTTGCGGTGAGCCGAGATCATGCCATTGCACTCCAGCCTGGGCAATAAGAGCGAAACTCTGTCTCAAAACAAAACAAAACAAAACAAAAAGCTGAAAATAATACTTACATGAACCTCTGGATGAAGTTTGATAAGAAATCTTTTCCTCTTGAAGCTTAGTTTACGGACCTTGGACCAATTGAAAGTGTTGATTTTGGTGGTGCCCTGAAATTCAAGAGACAGATTACATTTGTAATCTAACACATAACCCCTTTCTCATGAAATAGGGAATGCTTAAATTACATCTTTGCCAACACAGTAATCTACTTGGCATTTTACCATTATACCTGAAATGGCTCTGACTTAAAATGTCAATAACTAATCTATCTGTTCTAGAAAGATAGTTAATTTTTTTTTTTTTGAGAGGGAGTCTTGCTCTGTTGCCCAGACTAGAGTGCAGTGGTGCAATCTCCACTCACTGCAGCCTCAAACTCCTGGGCTCAAGCAATCATCCTGCCTCAGCCTCTGGAGCAGCTGGGACTACAGACACCAGACACCAATCCTGCCTAATTTTCTATTTTTAATTTTTTTTTTGTAGAGATGAGGTCTTGGCTATGTTGTTCAGACTGGTCTCAAACTCAAGGCACATCTGGAACATAAGAACACTGAAAGGTTCAAAGAGACGGAAAAGATGTACTCAATGACTGACCAAAAGAAAGCTGGTGGAGCAATATTATCATCAGATACAATGCATGAGAAAGAGGCCTTACATAATTTAAAAGCAATTCACCAGGAAGATACACTTGGACTTGTATCTCTCCCCATATTGTTTCAAATATTTATAGGAAACAGATAATTAAAAGAAGAAATGGAAAGATTTGTGTTTTTTTTTTTTTTTTTTTTTTTGAGACAGAGTCTCGCTCTATCACCCAGGCTAGAGTGCAGTGGTATAATCTCCATTCACTGTAACCTCCGCCTCCTGGGTTCAAGCAATTCTCCTGCCTCAGTCTCCTGAGCAGCTGGGACTACAGGTGTGTGCCACCACACCTGGTTAATTTTTGTTTTTTAGTAGAGATGGGGTTTCACCATGTTGGCCAGGCTGGTCTTGAACTCCTGACCTCAGGTGATCCATCCACCTTGGCCTCCCAAAGTGCTGGGATTACAGGCATGACCCACCGCACCTGGCTAATTTTAATTTCTTTGATAAGGTTTTATTGCAAAATTTTAAAATCAGTGTTAATATTATACATTGTTTGAAGTTTGCTCCTGCAAGGAGGGTGGTCTGGAAGGGGCAGTGATAGTGGCCAGGCAGGGCTGGGAGTAGAGTCAGGTTTCTCACTGAAGCTAGAACATAGTGCTAGAGTGTAACAGGAGCAAACGATGGGAATTCCTGGTCTCAGCAGATACAGACACAGATACAGAGGTAAATATAGATATGTGAGGTGAGTGGGTGTATGTACACGTGTATAGCATTGTCTATTGAGAGGGCCAGGAGTGGTGACACCCCACAAAGCAATGGGCACACTGAGTGCATGGATCTTGGTCTCTAAATACCAGTCTTCACTAAAACGGCTGGGCTCTGTGAGGAAATGGCTGACTCCACGGTGAAGCAGGCAAAGTACAAAACAAGGCTGGCATGTCTTATTTTGTAAGAAAGCAAGGAAGTGCTCATAAAATCAAAGGACATATAAGAAGGACATGAGGCTGGGCGCGGTGGCTCAAGCCTGTAATTCCAGCACTTTGGGAGGCCAAGACGGGTGGATCACGAGGTCAGAAGATCAAGACCACCCTGGCTAACATAGTGAAACCCCGTCTCTACTAAAAAATACAAAAAACTAGTTGGGTGAGGTGGCGGGCACCTGTAGTCCCAGCTACTCAGGAGGCTGAGGCAGGAGAATGGCGTAAACCCGGGAGGCGGAGCTTGCAGTGAGCTGAGATCCCGCCACTGCACTCCAGCCTGGGGGACAGAGCAGGACTCCGTCTCAAAAAAAAAAAAAAAAAAAAAAAAAGGACACGAGAGGCAGCTTGAAGAGCCTCCCTTGGGCCAAATGCGGGAAAGTTAAAGATAAAAATAAATAATGAAACCTACAGATTATCAAGTATCACATTCGAATCTATGAATCCACAGTGACATAAACTAAATAAATGGAGAGGAAACTCTTCCTTGCAGTAGTAGGAAGAACAGGATTTAAAGAGTCATCATCGGGCAACCATCACAGTGATCTAACTAGAAGAAGAGTGGGATGAGGTTCGAGATATTTATTTAGTCTCAAAGTATCTCTTCATAAAATACTTAGTTACAAAGGACAAAAAGTAACTTTTCTTTCCTTAAGAGATAAGGAGCCTCAAACTCTTGGGCTCAAGCAATCATCCTGTCTCAGCCTCTGGAGCAGCTGGGACTATGGGCACCTGATACCAATCCTGGCTAATTTTCTATTTTTAATTTTTTTTGTTTAACTGGTTAAAGGCAGATGGGCATCTCAGGAAAAGGCCAGTAGGACCTTTTGTAGAGATGAGGTCTTGCTATGTTGCCCAGGCTGGTCTCAAACACCTGGCCTCAAGTGATCCTGTTGCTTCAGCTTCTGTTGGGACTATAGGCATGAGCCACTATCTAGTCAAAAGTAACTTTGTATACAGAAAAGCTGGCAAACATCATCTTGACCAAGTGATCAATGTTACCACCACTACCAATGGGACAGATGGACCCTATGTACTACATGAATCAGGATATATCACCACTCCGGGAGTTTCTCACCTAGGCAGTGAGCCCAGGGTCTGATCCTGAGGAAGCACTGGACAATCCCATATCATAAACATTCTACAAAATGACCGCCCTGTAATCTTCCAAAATGTCAAAGTCATGAAAACCAAGGGAAGAAGAATGTTCCAGATTGCAGAGACCAGAGAGACATAATGCCTGGGTACAGTATTTGCTCCCAGATTGGACCTTCTGTAGTAAATAACACTGGGACAACCAGTTAAAGGCAGATGGGCATCTCAGGTAAAGGCCAGCAGGACCTTTCTGTGCTGTTTGTGTAGCTTTTCTATAAGCTTGAAATGGTTTCAAAATAAAATTTAAAAAACGTCTGAGACACTGCCTGGGAATTTCAGCGACTATACGTTTGATATTATCAACATTTACTCTTGTCTGCAAACTCAATGTTAAGAGGCAGCAAAGTGAGGGACACAGTCCCCTCAGAGACAGCTCCAAAGAAAAAAACAAACCCCTTTAGTCATAAGAAGGAGTAAAACACTGACACATGCGACCACATGAGTGAACCTGGAAACAAGGAAACACTACACACAACAGACATGTTTATATGACCCCATTTATACGAAATACCTAGAATAGGTAAATTCATAGAGGGAATGTCCTGATGGTTGCCTGTTCTGGATATCAGTGGTTGCTGGGGACTGGCGGAGTAACTGCTAAAGAGTATGAGGGTCTCTTTTTGGGTTGAAGAAAATGTTCTGAAATTAGATAGTAGTGATGGTCATATAACTGTGTAAGTATCCTAAAACAATTGAACTGCATACTTCAACATGGTGAATTTTATGGCATATACATTTTATCTCAATTAAAAAAAAAATCCTGAGTGAGATGTTCTCAAAGCCAAGATACAAATGTTAGGGTCTAAATGAGAACTTAAGCTTCCTAGTTCCCAAAATATTGCCCAAACACTAAGTCACTCTAATTTCTACTGAAAGTAAAATATTGAAGGCCAGGTGTGGTGGCTCACGCCTGTGATCCCAGCACTTTGGGAGGCCGAGGTGAGCAGATCACCTGAGGTCAGGAATTAAAAAAAAAAAAATTAGCTGGACATGGTGGCCGGTGCCTGTAATCCCAGCTACTCAGGAGGCTGAGGCAGGAAAATCGTTTGAACCCAGGAGGTGGAGGATGCAGTGAGCAGAGACTGCGCCACCATACTCCAGCCTGGGTGACAAAGGGAGACTCCGTTTCAAAAAAAAAAAAAAGTAAAATATTGGAGGATTTTCAACTACATTCTCAAAGTTCCTCTCCTAAATTGTATTCTCAAAAACAAAGCAAAACAAAACATCAACAAAAGGAAACAAAATCCCCACAGCCCCAGCTCTAGATATTATTTATATATCTAGGACAGAGTCTAAAAAACCGAGGGCCTAGGCTAGGCGTGGTGGCTCATGCCTGTAATCCCAGCACTTTGGGAGGCCGAGGCAGGAGGATCATGAGGTCAGGAGATCAAGACCACCCTGGCTAGCACAGTGAAATCCCGCCTCTACTAAAAATACAAAAAAATTAGCTGGATGTGGTGGCACCCGCCTGTAAGTCCCAGCTGCTCGGGAGGCTGAGGTAGGAGAATCGCTTGAACCTGGGAGGTGGAGGGTGCAATAAGCTGAGATCGCACCACTGCACTCCTGCCTGGGCGACAGAGTGAGACTCCGTCTCAAAAAAAAAAAAAAAAAAAAAAAAAAGAGAGTGAGGGCCTGCCACGGAGGTAAGAGATGAAGCCCTCCCAGGAAGGAGGCTGACAATAGCTCAGAGCCCCCCACATAACTGCTCCAGCTGCTTGTTCAATCCCTTCTGGTCAAAATAAGAAATTTCTACAGCTGTCTTTTGGTATCTGTAGGGAATTGGTTCCAGGACCCTCTACCCTAGTACCCAAATAGTCTCTGATAGAAAATGGTGTAGTATTTGCATATAACCTATGCACACCCTCTTGTGTACTTTATTTTTATTTTTGTAGAGATGAGGTCTTGCTTTGTTGCTAAGGCTGGTCTCCTGAGCTGTGGTGATTCTCTTGCCTTGACCTTCCTAAGTGCTGGGATTATAGGCTTGAGCTACCATGCTGGGCTTCCTGTATACTTTAATAAAATCATTTCTAGATTACTTACGTACCTAATACAATGTAAATGTCACGTAAATAGTTTTACTGTACTGTGTTAAATTTGTATTTTTTAAAAAATTACATACACACACATGTGTGTGTTTTGAGACAGTTTCACTCTTGTTGCCCAGGCTGGAGTGCAATGGCGCGATCTTGGCTCACTGCAACCTCGGCCTCCTGAATTCAAGCGATTCTCCTGCCTCAGCCACCTGAGCAGCTAGCATTACAGGCACCTGCCACCATACCTGGCTAATTTTTGTATTTTTAGTAGAGAATGGGGTTTCACCATGTTGGCCAGGCTGGTCTCGAACTCCCGACCTCAGGTGATCCACCAGCCTTGGCCTCCCAAAGTGCTGGGAT